CGACTGTTATAAAATAAATGCTATATTATCATACTCACTGATAATTTTTTAGAGGAATTTGAAATCCTTCATTTGCTTCTTTTTCCATAAATTTAGTAATATTATATATAATTTCTCTTGTTTGACTATTAAGGGACCTCCCTTTTAATCAGATTCTCTTTGGAGCCATTACAACAACAAAAACACAATACTTATATGTAAATATAAATCACAAGGCACTATAATTATATAAAATTGTCACTTTTCGCACTCTATTCACTTCTATTCACTTTGTATATACTCGACCGAAGTTACGCCACTGAATGACTAAGTTTGGCTTCACCGAGCGTCGTTGCTAGGCAACAGCCTGTGCGCAACTTTTGTCGTCGCCATGTTGTGTACCAAACTCATCTTGGCCCGGCTCTAGCAGTCTAACGCGCTTATATTCATCTACAGGCAAGTTTATGGTACGAGACTGCCGGGTTTCGAATCCCAGGCCTGATCATGTGGATTTTTAATTAAATTGCATGGTTCGGTATAGGATTTGATGTGTGCCGTATTAATAGAAATTCAATTTCTGTTGATATGACATGCCGATTATAAAATCGCCATGCATTACCGTCTCGATGATGGTGGGTGAGGTTTTCCGGGTTTTCCTCACCTGTAAGTCAAATGGCACCATCAATCATCTTTAAGTCGGCCCGGAGCGCCATTGATGATTAAAGCGTTAAACAAATTATGTCACTTTCAATTTAATAGATTTTATTAATTTTGGTATTGAGACCTCTAACATTTTGGTAAAAAATGAAATTGATGATTCGTTGTCTTTATCCATAGTAGAAAACAAAGTTAATTCTGTTAAGGGTTTTATTAGCACCTAACTTACCAATGTCCTTATCTATAGATATCTTAATAACATTGGCTGTGTCGTTTTTGCGAACAAAAATATTGCAGTTTGTCGTCCAAACATATTTATTATATAGAAATGAGTTACATAAAAATAGCGTTGGGCTCCACAATTTTTGTTTGTTTTAAAATAGGACAAGATAGTCCGTGACAACTTCATTTAAGTCTCCGATTAACGTCTGTGATACACGAACGGACAGACACTGAGGTAATTTCATATGTAGGTTCGGTTAATAAAGAGAAGGAGTGGAATAGCAGCAGAGTTTCTTAGGGTGTTTTTAACTATCACTTAAGCGTGTTAAATTGTTACTAATCGTAATAAACGAACGTAAAAAGAGTCGTTGCGAGTTAAAAAAGTCGTTTTGAGTTAAAAGAGTCGTTTTGAGTTAAACGAGTGATTGGAGTGAATGGAGTGAATGAAGTGAATAGAGTGAACAACTAAACGACCGCAGTTCATAAGTGTCTCGTTTTGTTTTAAGGGGCAAAATAGTTGCTTTATCGCACACAACACGAATTTGCAATATATTTATGGTTTTTAATAAAGTGGTTAATTTATAAGATAGTGACTTTCAGTGTATTTTTTACAAATAGTGATGTAACGTGCATTTTTAACAGTACGAAATCTAGAGTTTAAATTATTTTTACCTTGTCTAAATGAATGGAAAATAGGTAACCGTTATTTTGTGCTGATATTTTGAAACTATTATTCATTGTACACTAGCGGTATGTGTTAACTATAGAGTTTCTGGCTTACTGATGTCATTCCTAGTATTTAATTTCTATTATCAGTAGGCAAGAGTAGTAATTCATTCCTAGTACCTAAGTTGTACAATATTTCTTCCCAATTGTAGTTTTGACTCAACTGGCTTGTTATAATTATACAAATTCACCACAAAGAAATTACTGTCATTTATATGGTTATCATCTTATCTCCAGAGAATTAATAATTAACGAGACAATTTCAATGAATTTGTGTACTCCTTGTTCAAATTAATTAATTATTTTAATTTAATATTACTGTATAATTGTCAAACCTGTCAGTCTTCAAATGGGTTATTTTTGACGTTAAATGTCAATAAATAAACACGATAAGTATCGTTACATTAGACGTCATTCACGTCTTGTTCCGAAAGTCAGATAATGATAATTTCCCATAATGTCGATTAGACGTCTCGCGTTCGAATCTAGTGATGTGATTGGTGATACGAGGTGCGTTGGATTTTAATTGTATTATTGTGATGTTTGGTGCGTTAGGAAATTTTCGCAATCAGGAACAATTTCTAAATATCGTTTTATTGTACATATACAGGGTGATTCATAACTATTGGGACATAGGCTAAGGGCAGGTTATTTGGACCAAAATATGACGATTGGACCAAATATACCTTTAAAGATACAGGGCGTTAAAGTTGAATTTTTTTTTCGTTTTTTTCCTGATAATGTCACTGTTTATTTATGAATTGTTATCAAAATCGGCACAAAGGCATATCTTTGAAAAAGGAATATTATTTTATGTAATATTTCACATTTTGTTACAGGGGGCGCCACGTGAATGATTCCTGATGATGAAATTAGGTGGTAACTTTTATTGGCGAAACTTTTTAGTGCTTTTGTTTAGAAAATATTACCTAAAAATTATTTCTACGTAATATTGGTACTCTTGTTTAAACACGATAATTTCACCTGTTTTCGAGAAAAACGTAATTGAACAGTTCAGTGTCTCAGAAGGGGATTCCAAATAACACAATAAGAAAACTTGTAACGTAAGGCTTCTATTTCAACGGTAAAGTAAAATTAAAAACAATTTAACATAAAAAAAGCAAACTTAAATTAAATGTTCAATGTGACCTCCTCCGACTTCTATGCCTTTTCTAATTCTTTTAATAAAGGACTTTCAGATGGCAAAGAAAATATTATTCTGTCCTCTTATAAAATTACCCGCATTTTGTATGTTCCTCCAGAGTTCGTCTCGTGAATTAATTTCCTGGGTATAAACTGAGGACTTCATATGTCCCCATACATAAAAATCAAGAGAGTTATAGTCAGGACTTCTTGGTGGCCATTCAAAATTACTTCCTCTGCCAATCCAACGTTGAGGACATATGTCACTTAGATAATTTCTAACAACTAATGGGAAATGAGGTGGAGCTCCATCCTGCATAAACCACATTTTCGTTCTTACATCTAGTGGCGTATCATCCAAAATATCTCTAAAAGTATTTTGCAAAAAAAAATAAATAGGAATCTCCATTTAAATTTGGAGGAAGACGATATGGCCCTAGTAGTTGGTCGCCTATAATGCCACACCAAATATTAAATTTAAACTCATGTTGAAAATGTCTTTCTTTACGAGCATGCGGGTTTTCTTCTTCCCAATGATGACTGTTTCGATAATTAAAAACACCTCGTCTAGTAAAAGTCGCTTCATCGGTGAACATAATATTTTTAATAAAATTTCGGTCATCATTATGTTTGTTGAGAATACGTTGGCAGAACTGTAACCGTCTTGGGAGATCTCTTGGAAGCAAATTTTGAACAGGAGTGAAGTGATAAGGATGAAACTTTTCTTTTTTTAAAACTCTAATAATAGACGACTGACTTACTTCTGTTATTATTGCCAGTTGACGTGAACTTACTGCAGGATTTTCATCTACTCGAACCAAAATTTCATCTCCTTCATTAGGTGTGATTTGTTTCGGACGACCACCTAGATTTTTACTATGAAATGACCCGGTTTCACCCAAACGATGAAATAGATTTGCAAAAGTTTTGTGATTTGGATGACTTCTGTCTGGATATAACAATTCATACCTTCTGGCTGCCATGCGACCGCAAAAATTTTCTTGTGCATATACACAAACCATATCCCGCATTTCTTCATTCGTAAAATGATTGTGACGAGGCATTTCAGTCAAAAAAGCTTTAAAAAAATGCAACAATAGACTATAATCTCACAGCAAAAATAATTCATTGGCAAGAACTGACATTTACGAGACACAATCATCTGACAGTCCAAAGCACACTTTTCATAAATAAAATATTTTTTGAAATATCCTTCTGAGACTCTGAACTGTTCAATTGCGTTTTTCCCGAAAACAGGTGAAATTATCGTGTTTAAACAGGAGTACCAATATTACGTAGAAATGATGTTTACGTAATATTTTCTAATAAAAAGCACTAAAAAGTTTCGGCAAAAACATTTACCACTTAATTTCATCATCAGGAATCATTCTTGTGGCGCCCCCTGTAAAAAAATGTGAAATAATACATAAAATAATATCTCTTGTCCAAAGATATGCCTTTGAGCCGATTTTGATAACAATTCATAAATATACAGTGAGATTACAAAAAAAAACGAAAAAAAAATTCAACTTTAACGCCCTGTATCTTATTCCACAGCCATATTTTATTAAAGTATATTTGGTACTATCGCAATATTTTGATCTAAATAACTTGCCCTTAATATATGTCCCAATAGTTATGAATCACCCTGTATATAGTTTGCTATTTTAATCTCGTAAATAGTCTCTCAAATATCGACGGTTAAACGGCAAAATGCCCTAACCCACACTTTACCCGAAATTACAATTTTTGTTTTAGTATAAAAAGAAAGGAAGCCTCATTTTATTACACTAGGACCTAAGCCTCTCTGAAATTAGGTACAGCTGAAATTAACACAATTGATAACCTAAGCCGCAATAAAAAAAATTATCTGAAAAATGGATCATCTGTTTAGGTATAATGTTTATGAAAACAAGGCCTAATCAACATAGTGCAAAAAGACCTAAACCACAAATTTGTTCTTACTATTTAAAATTATAGGGTATTTAACATTTCTAGTTGGCAACATCGTTTAGTGACATTGTATTGACAATTAAAATCTAACAGGTTACTTTTCTGTGATAATTAGTTGAAGCGTTATGAAAGTTTTTGTAAATTGTTCAATACATACGACAAATATAAATTTTATGCCCATTAATGATGGAGACCTTTTAAATTTTGCTGACCAAATGGTGGCAACCCTCGAGCAGCCGAAATAAAATATAAATAAAGACATTTCAATAGAAGGACGTACTTACCAATCTCACCCTCATGACAGTAGTTACAATCCTGAAATGAAATCTGAATCAACAAACTTAGAAGAAGCAGAAGAGGATGAAGAAACATGTACCAAAAGGAAAAGACTGACTGAAGTTATAACTAAAAAAAAGAATAAATCAAAAAAAGTTAAGGAACAAGATATTATTACCAAAGAGAAAGAGACTGATAATAATATAATAAATTTAGCTACAGTTAAAGAAATCGGTGTAAATAAGAAGACAAAAAAGAAATAAATAAGAAACCAAATGACTATCATAGCAAATACTAATTTCGTCGACGAAGTCGAGTTCAATAACCAGACTAGTACTGCAAGTGATGAAGGAGAAATAAACTATATTGAGAAAGATGGCAGAAGAAAACCAAAGAGATTAAATCAAAGAAACACTGCTAAACAGTTACGCGCAGAAGGCAAACAGTATTGTTCTTCAAAGAAGAAAATAGTTCCAGCCAGAAGCCTTAAACTAGTTCCATGTAAATCATGTCAAAATAATTGCACTGCAAAATTTTCAGAAGAAGATAGGCAAGGAATTTTTGACCATTTCTGGAAGCTTGGTAATACACAAGAACAAAATTCATTTCTATTATCTTGTGTTAGTATACAAAACATAAAAAGAAAATACACCAAGAAAAACGAAAGCCGAAGGACTTTAACAAAAATATACACCATGCAAAAAAATAACACCGGAGAAAAAGTGTGTAGGCAGTTTCTCCTTTCTACATTATGTATAAATGAAAAACGAATGAGAAGGCTTTGTACAAATAAAACGGCTATTGGAACCCCCAAAAAAGATATGAGAGGTAAAAATACAAAAGCAAAAAATAAGACAAAAGAGGAAACTCGAGAACATGTTATGAATTATATTAAAATGCTGCCTGCAATACCATCTCATTATTGTAGAAGCAGTTCTTCTAAGAAGTACTTGCCAGCTGAATTTAAAAATATTAAAAGATTATACAGATTGTACAAGACTTGGACGCACGACAATAATTACAATTTCGTAAGTGAATCTGTTTTCAGAAAAATATTCACAGTTGATTTTAATATAGGATTCCACGCTCCAAGAAAAGATAAATGCAATACTTATATTAGGTATAACAAAGAGAAAGCATCAAACGAGGAGAAGGAAAAATACAAAGCTCATATTGATGAAAAAGAGGAAGCCAAGAAGCTTTACCATGCTGATCAGAAAAAATCAAACCTTGATGGATTTTTGTGTTCAAGTTTTGATATGCAGAAGGTATTAAGCACACCACATGGACAACTAGATATGCGAATTTATTATTATAATCGATATGCAGTTTACAATGAAACTATTTATGAAGCAGGGACACGAAACGCTTACTGTTACTTATGGAGTGAGAGTGATGCCAAAAGAGGTTGCAATGAAGTATGTTCCGTTTTATACAAATACCTTTTACTGGAAATACGAAAGATATAGCTTTATACTGTGACTCTTGCAGCGGGCAAAATAAGAATTGAGCTGTAATGGCGATGCTCGCACTGTTCTTAAAATTTGCTAAAAATCTAAACTCAATAAAGATAACCTTTTTAATTCCCGGTCACACTTACATGCAGGTGGACAGTGTACATGGATCTATTGAGGTATACACTAAAAAAATGCTGGTATGGGCGCCTAGTGAATGGCCCACTGTGATAAGGAATTCTAGATTAAATCCTCGCCCCTATGAAGTTATAACACTAACCCACAGAGACTTTTACGATTTTAAAGTTATTCAAAAAAGGTTTTGGCCAGACAAAATTAAGAAAGACACCAATGATAACATAATTAGATATCTAGGTATCAGACAAATGATATTTCTTAAAGGATACAATGAAGTTCAATTTAAATACCTTTTAAGAGATGCTTCTAGTTTTATTTACTTGGATACACGCGGATCCAGAAACATGGATTTACCTCCACTATACAGTGCACCCCAGGCAATACCACAAAAAAAATATGAAAGTATTATGGAAATGTGTAAAAAGAAGATTATTCCAACAGAATATCAGCAGGAGTACAATGTGCTTATTGGAAATAAGGATATCGTCTTGACCCTACCTGAATCAGATGAAGAGGATGAACCTGTTGAAGTATTTTAAGTTTTAAGTTTTTTGTATTTATTTTGTATTTTTAAAACTTGTTTTTTAGATATAAGTTCAAAATTATTTTAAAATTGTAAAAATAAAAGTTTAAATCTTAATTGGTATGCTTCATTATTTGTAACTCAAGACATTGTACGTTAACCACGGGCCTAACCCACATAAAAGTAATGAGGTGTATAATTTTTGAATATGTAGAAAGCCCTAACCAACATTTTAATTGTGTTTAAATAAACGTGTCTATATTAAATGGCTTATAAAGGTTTATAACAATCCCCTAAGATCTACCAATATCCTCAAAAAAGAATTGGAGGTTCATTTTATAAATTAAAATATTTAAATGTTTTTTAGTTTCCTATAAAAAACAACATTTGCGGCTTAGGGCCTTTTGCCGTTTAACCGTCGATATATTGGAAAATGATCGAATGAATATCTGAATACACTCTGCTGGGATAATGGGATATTTTATTATCCCTTGAAAGGGGATGTTAGATTTATAAGTGCCATTTTTTACTTTTCTTTCTGTATATATATTTGGTCCTATATATGATTTCCCTAAAATAGACCGTATTCCAGATATTTAAGAAAAAGTACAAATTTTAGATTTTAAAGATAAGTCAAAAACGTTTGAAGAGAAAAACACTAAATTTTAAACTTAAGCTTTAATTCATCCTGCGGTAAGTTGATTAAATTTTAGGCATAGTCGAAGCATCTGGAGAATACTTTACAGGGTGTCGTTTTATTAACTTTAAAAAATAAATAGTCTTGACAGTATTTCCTTAGACAACCCATCTGCAGTATATTTATAAATATCCATTAAAGGGATGAGTGAAGGTCGATCTTACGTCAGATCTTAGACCAGTGGTTACCAAACTTTTCAATGTAATGAGCTCCTTTAATAACTTTGAAATAGACAGTGAACTACCTAGTCAAAAGGGAAGTACACCAACCTAAATTAAATAAAACACGGTTATATTGTATAAACATTTATTTATTTGACTAATTATTAACTAATAATGCTAAGAATAATAAACTAATACCAAAATTACTAATTATTATTACTAACAGATAACACGTACCTAACAATACCAATCGTAGGTGTTTGAAAAATGAACAAAGTTTTTATGTAGCCACAATGGCATGTCACATACGATTTAATAAGAGTGAACAAAAATAACAAAAAAGTATTGCACTATTTTAAACAAAAACAGAAATCATTGTGAAATCCTATCAGTTCCATTTGTGTAGCAACGATGTCTTTGCCAAAGTTCTGCATAATACCAGTTGCAAGCTGTTGAATATCAATTTCCATGAAAGGTGAAACAACAAATTCCTCCACTAAATCCATCTTACTGAAATGCACTAAATCCATCTTATTGAACTCCTTAAATCGACTATTTCTACATGATAGTTACTGTCATAAAGTTCCATTGGTTCTTGAGATATCTTCTCTGAAAGAATAAAAAATGCTTGATATCGCAGTTGATTAGGTTTTGTTCCCAAAACTCAAGCTTTTTGATAAGCAAATGCATTTATATCAGAAATAATTTCCGCTAGTTCTTTGGCTCTCTTCTAAAGCTGCAAATTAAGTTCATTTAATTTTTCTGTAATGTCCACAAGAATACCAAAATCTCTAAGCCAGACTGAATTTTCCTGTTCCGGAATCCTATCATCGCGCTGTTTGAAAAATTGAACTATGGCCGATAGGCCATCCTTAAAACGTTTAAGCACTCGTGCTCTACTTAACCATCGGACTTCAGACCGAAGAAAAAGTTCCCCGTATTGACAACTAATTATTGACTAGAGTTTTAAATAATCTTCTTTGTCATGTTCACAATTTTTACTACGAATTTCATAACGTTGTTCAGTTTTAAAAAATTTCTACATAATGCTTGCTGATGGATAACGCAGTGGTTACAAAAAGATTGTTAAAATCTTTTATCTTTACGGCATAACGCCACCATACCCTTATCACAACCTACCATAGCTGGAGCGCCATTGGTTGTCAAGACTATCATTTTCGATATTGAAATTTTTTCAGAAGAAATAATACTTTCGAAATGAGAAAATAACTCCTGCCCAGTAGTATACTCTTTCAGTGGAATATACTTCAGAAGATCTTCTGTAATTGTATCTGTTGTTTCATCCAGTTGCAGCGAAAAATAAATACAGTTATCTAAGTCAGTAAACAAATATCATCGCTCAATACTTCTACTCGCCTCACTACTGTATTAGCAGAAAGTTGCATAGATTTTATAGCTGAAACCATCTTTATTTCTAAAGTTGGCAAATAGCAAATCTGCGTCTTCTAAAAACGCATGTTTTGCTATTTCCCCGTCTTCATAAAGGTTTCTTCTTACGTGCAATTATTTGAGACACACGATATGACGCCTTCGTTGCGGCCTTATTTTTGTCGACTGTTTTTAAAAATATTGACTGTTGTGCGATTAACTGGTTCTTGAAATTTTTCAGTTTTTCCTTTCTGGTGGCAGAATGTAATGGAAATTATTTTTCAAAATTCAAATGTATATTTTTATGATGCCTTTCAATATTTCCTTTTTTAGCAACGGAGACAGAATTATTACATAATAAACATACCTATATTTTTTCCTTTATCTTTTGTAAAGAAATATTGTTCTCATTCTGATTGGAAATGTTATGTCTTCACCTTCTTACTATTGCCACAGCTTAACAATACAGCTAAAACACTCTCTTGGCGGCAACGGTTTGCGTCGATTTCGTCGCGCATCGCTTAAGCTCCGCCTTCGAAGGAAAAAGACGGTTTTGGTGTTCAGAAGCGTACTTAGGTAAGATGTTGAGTCGTGCGTATAATTTCGTTGATTGTATAATTTCGTGGAGCCTATAATTTCGTTGATTGTATAATTTCGTGGAGCCTATAATTTCGTTGATTTTGTTTGAGTTAAAGGTACTGTTATTATTTTGGTGACTCTTTAGCTATGAGTAGAATGAGTGAAAAAAAAAGACATCATTCTGTTTGTGCAGTCAAAAACTGTTTTAATAAGAGTTATACCTGCAAGAAAACATTCTTTAGTTTTCCCAAGGACCCAAACCGATAAGTACCACATTATAAGAAATTTTCATTGTTAAAAATATAATTTATACAGGGTATCCCATTAGTGCGTTATTGTTCATTATTTTGTTGTAGACACGCAAGAAAGTTTTAAATAAAAGTTATATGGATTTGAAAAATACCTACATATTTTAAAAATATCTTTGGATATACAGGGTGTCACGTTTTTGCCTGGCAAATTAAAATGTATGTTTTTTAAATGGAACACCTTGTATTTTATTTTATGATAAAATTATTAACACCCTATTTTATTGTAAAGACGAATTGATACAGAAAAAGTTTATCAGGTATGTGTGTGGTTACCTTTTAATAAAAGCCTTGCGGATCCACTCCTCTGCGATACCTGTCTTAAATATAACAAAGATCACGTTGAATTAGATGATTTTTCTTTTTATTGCTTTTTAAAGGCATATGATAACGCCAATCCAGATACATTTGGAAATCTGCAACTGTCAAATGATGAATGTGTAGAACTAATATTCAATATTGAAAAGATATTTCAAAATAATTTTGAAGAATTGGCTACAAAAAATAACATTTGTACCACACTTTTAGAATTAATTAACCCAATACCCTTTAGTCATCCATGCTAACGTTTTCCAAAAGAATAACTTATTTTATTGTATGTTTAATCTCAATAACTAAAAAATATACTGACAATTAGTTTGACAGAATTGTCATTTATTTAAAATTTTAAAAATAATAGCAGTCGGTTGATCAAAATATGAACGGTGATTGGCGAATTTATTTTTTTTTGCAGTGTTCTCACTACCTAGAATGGATATGAAATATATTCGTTCAATTGAAGGCAATAGCATACTTTTTCGTTTTGTAATCTGTGCATGGATATTAGCCAATCTATGCACATACTACAAAACGAAAAAGTATGTTATTGCGTTCAACTACGAATATATTTCATATCCATTTTAGGTAGTGAGAACACTTTAACAAAATTAAATCTACAAATCACAGTTCATATTTTGGTCACCCAACTCCTATTATTTATTTTTTTTTAAATAAGTGACAATTCTGTTAAACTAATTGTC